CGGGCTTTTTCTTTGCACTTCTATTAATATCGAGTTTCAATCGTTTTTCCGTCTCGTTTCCTCTTTATACGACGGCAAAACCGATGTGAAGAGCGCAACAAGTTAGCCGTCCCCCATCGACCGGCAAATTCAGATTCGATTGTCCCATTTATTTCTTCCCGTTCTTTTCCCTTTTTTTTTTTCAGAATCAGAGCGTAGGTGGTCGGAGTGTAACAGTAACGTTTTATCTCTCGGTCAAGCGTGTATTTAGCGCAGGTTCGTAGGGCAATTAAACCATCTGGGAAACGCGAGACACGATCGTTTAGGTTAGTTTCACGAATTTCGCCGATTATCGTGCTTTGGTACATTTGTGCGTGAATTGTTATCGAGTTAAATGTAATTTAAAGAGCTGAATAAACTTTTTTAAATTTCTCACAACAGCGTTATTTCGATCACGATAATTAGCGATTTGAAAAAGAAACTCTTATATAATTAACCTTTTCGCTACGGCGCGCTTGTGACAAAATATGATCGCTATGAACGGAGCGCATTACTGACTAGTCGACACTGATTTTTCTTTCCCATATGTTTCCAATATCTGTCTTATAAGATTTAAATGAAATTTGGCAAACGATAATTTTGTCGCAAAAACAAAAAAGGAACAAAAGTATATATGGTATGAACGTATATGTACGCTCTTCGTACCCGAGCGCCCACTTTTCGAGAGCGTATATATACGCTCTTCGTATATGAATGTTCATTCTTCGAGGGCGTATATACACGCCCTTCGGAGCGAAAAAAGACAGAATTTTGAAGTTTCACTTTTTAGAAATCTATACCAATGCAATAATAAAGCATGACAAGTGCGACTTCATCTTTGCTTCTCTACTCGTTAATTACGTTAATCCTCGCCGGTAATTACGTCGAACTAGTAATTTACTTTCGATAGATGGAATTTTCCCCGTTTGTTCCATCCTTCGCGCACTTTTTCAACGAAATTGAACACGTTCGCTGGTCTGTAACAGTTCCCGCGAATCGGCCGATAGGATTTACAAATCGACGCCGGGTTCTGCATGGTGATATCGATTACGAGCGAGCAGGTTCGAGTGTCGAATGCCGATGTGCCAATTAGAAACATCGACGCGTCCATTCACTTTCGCCGATGAAAACGAGGAGAGGTTGTTTGAAAGCAACGAAAGTAAGATGCTCGTGTGTATGTACGAGGGAGAACTCGTTCAACAGGGTAATCGTACGTCCAAGTATCGGCGGAACGATCCGGACGAGGACACCGAGAGAGATATTCTTCACGGAGGGAGCAATACCTCTCGCATCGATTAGAAAGCAGATAATATGCACGGCAACCTGGATCTTATCGTGCGTCCACCTCAGCGGTGTTTTGCTACTGTGCTTCTGAAGAAAGGTGAGATCTTGACAATGGCTCTTCGATCGTTTGAATCAATTTCACGTTCAACACTGGAACGACTAAAATTCGTGGAAACGACGGATTTCAGATACCGTACTTTAAATTGGAGAAATTATTAAGTGACTTTTGGCCAAGTATGCGACGACTTCTGTTGAAATGAACAAACTGTACTTCGTTTCTGTTCTTGTGAATATTTTTCAACAAAGAAATTATTGTCTCCTAAAAATTCCCAAAGCAATGACTCGTGTTCCCCAATTCAAGGGGTAAATTAAAAAACTTGGAAAATTTAGAATCTTCAAGCTTAATACTAGAAGAACAAAATCCGTGAAAATGAGGGATTTCAGGTTTCGTATTTTAAATTGCAAGAATGATTAAAATGCCTTTGGCCAAGTTGAAATAAACGAATAATTGTACCATATGCTAATTGACTTTTCCATTAATCTTTCTAGTCTCGAAATTCTTCAGACAGTATACCTAAATAAACCAGAAGGGAGAAAATGTTTAACTACATTTAACACCAGTTGTTCCAGTGTTAATCAGCGAGTAGACGAAGTTGCCAATTTTTCAGCCGAGAATATTCCAGGTAATTAATAATCGATTTTAACAGCAACCGAGCCTAGCCTGTGCACCTGTATCACCTTATTTCTCTAATAAACGTGTCACTTTCAATGCAGCTACTATTTTCTCCTTTTCACTGGAAAGACAGTGATTAAATTGAAAAGATGCTCCGCAGAAACTGTCGATCGTTCGAGTTAACGGACAACTCTGCCGAAATCGTGCTTAATCATTAGACGAAATTAAATCGTTCGCTACCCAATTCTCTCCCTCCCTCTAGCTTTCACTTGGTGCACAAACTTTGTGCTTGGAAGTTCGCTATAAATTTCATTGCAAGGTATTTACCGTCCAGTTTCTCTTTAAACCGTCGAACGTGCCTCTGGATCCTCGAGTAAATCTCCAATCTTAACTTTTAAAAGATTTCTCCACCCGAAGTCAAAACTACGTACAAACAGACGAATTGCGTAACTTTTTCCACCGTTGATCCACTGTCTTCCTCTCGTTTTCCGCCGGTGAATTTACGAACGTCTGGTAAAAATTTCGCGAGGAAGCCTCGCGGGGAACACACGTCGCCGCAAATCGCGCGAGAAGATCCCGAGAAGATCGGCGAGATTGAGAAAGATTAGGAAGAGGGAACGAAGGCAGTGGTCTGGGCGAGGATCGAGTGGCAAGGTCTTTAAACGATCGCTTAATCCTATTTGGGACCTACTTTTCGCCGACGACCGAGAGGAGAAAGTAAGAGGAGCAGCAAGAGAGGAGTGACGGCGGTCGCGTGCTTGAGAAAGTAAAGTCTCGTTTACACGTAAGAGCTGGCCGTGGCGTTTTTACAGGCACTCACACATTACGCCGGAATAGAATTGCGATTACCACATTTTAATTTTCTTCGAGATTTCTGGGTCGAGGTACACGGCGAGCACACCTTGCCTCTTTCTTCTCTTTCTCTTCTTCTTTCTCGTCAGCCCCGAAAGTGGACCGAGAACATAACCGACGGACGAGAGGTCGCGATGTTTAACGTGGACCTAGAACTAGAGGCGTAATTGTCTCTTTGAATGGATAATTGTCGCGAGAGACACGCATTACGATGCTGGTTTCTCTCTGTCCGACGAGAGCACGGTAAAATGAAGCTTGCGTATAGTTGGTGTAAATTTTCAAATCTGGCAGAAGATGGAATTTAATTGGAATGTGATTTCTGTGTGACGCAGATTACGGCGCATTCTGAACGGACGCAACCGGAAGAATTTCATCCCTTTCGAGGAATAATTGTCACGGCTGTAAAGTATTGGAAAGAAGAAATAAAGGGGAAATAAAATGTCACGTTTTCCAATTTCGATCACCCACCGTCAAGCTTATTCGTTATGTCGTAATTAATTCCCGATGCGTGAATGCAAATCGCGAGCAATTATTACTGCAACGACATATCCGCCCACCGGTGACATCATTTTATTCTTTTCGTGATGTCACCCCATACGTGACGACCATAACACTTTCCCCGCCGAGTTTCCTAACTTCTTTCTTCTCTCTGTTTCGATTAAAGAAAACAAAACGTTAATTATTCCCCTCGCAATAGACGCGTAA